TGGTACTAGTAATCTCTCTAGCCTCCTTTAGGGCAGGTTGACGCACATGCAAATAACCCGGTGTCTGATCCTCCCAGATTACCGAATAATGGAAAAATAAATACCTACACCATGATATTAATAAATGACCACCAAGGATCAAAAATAACCACGATGGAACGACAACATAGACACCTGTTCACCGAGTATCATATCTTACGCAATTATTAAATTAACCCAAGACACCAATTTACCCGGAGCCAAACGGAGTCAGGCTACAAAAGCACCAGCCTCGTTCCCGCGGCGCGAATGAGGGTCTTATTACATATTAACCAGATGTTTGCCCGGTGGACGCTCCGAATCCTTCCAGGATGCTCGTTGTCGGCGAGCATGGATATATATCAACCTTTTAGCCCACCGGCACATAAGGTTCCAAGTCTATACTTAACTGTCCTCAATGCAACGCCGCGGCAGCTAACGAGCCCCTTATCCATATGATTACGTATAGCGTGCTGTGTTCAACTCAAGGACAGGTGGCCGGTACCTACCTCGGCGATCTACTCGCTTCTGCCAGGCATTCAGCGCAAGAGAGAGTGTGTGCAAATTGCGACAAATTGCGTCGATATTCGTCTATGTGGGGACTACCCATGTGTTGATCCGTGAGATACTGTCAAAATGTCCGTCCCGTATCCAAATGCCTCCTCTATCGAAATATAGTTTTCCTGTGCTCGTCTATATGATCGGCAGGATCCAATCGGAGCTTTCCTGGGAACAATTAAACTAATGTATACGAGCGCGTTCTTGTTTCAACTTAAGTCAATTTGGGCTATGCGAGGCGAGAGGCCTGGTAGTTGGAAACTTGGAACCCGGAAGATAAAGTGGAATGGGCTAATGGAACGCTCAGCCTCCTTCTTTTTGTCCCCCAAAGCTTTAACGACCCTCGAGCCTATCACCATCCTCCCATATACCCACCACTGTATACACTCAGCCATGGGCCCAAAGGCGGGTTCCTTTCAATATTTCACGTAGCGTGTGATTCAAAGAACACCCTCGGTTGTTCACCTCCCAGATTGGTTTGATTTATCGGAGACTAGAAAGCCACTTCTGTCTAGAACAGTGATAAGCTCTTCACGCTGAAGACTTGGCTCCCAAGACGACTGTGTTCTGGCGGTACAGTACCCGCCACTGCCTTGTCAAGCAGTTGAACACGCCTGTGTGGAAATAGCGTATCCACAGTAGGCCCACCGAGTTTTCACCTCACGTACGACCAGCTGTCTCTCTAGGGGAGCCATCAGGTGATCATTCTCACCGAGTAGATAAGGTTCTTCAGCATGAAATTGATACTATGAAGGCTCGGGATATCATGTATAACAAGAGCACGGGTGTTTCTCAAGTTCAATGACTATGAAAACGCTCTCGCCCCGAGATTGTACTCTGTGTTCCACAATCACTTGAAGAATAACGCTATAGAAACCCTCCCAACAAGCAAGAAACTACGACGGATGTCCTATATCAAGCGTGTAGATGATCTGGGGAGTATAAAACCTGCCGATATACCCCCACAAAACATGCAACAGGCAAAACCAAAAACAAGCACTCTCCACCAAGCGACCATACATTCGACCGAGCACCCCCGACAAATAACCCCTCAACTGTTTCTATGCAATTGCCCCATCGTTCTACTATTCCAAATCGCCAACTCAAGCGCTACCCAGCCTACCATACCACCCTACCTCCATTCGTCTCTTCATGCATAAACTGGCGACCCTAGTGAGCTCCTGCATGCTTAGAACATATCTTATCTACCGGACTGTCATCCGAAATAAATATCAAATGCCTCTAGTCCGTAGCTAGCCTACCCATCATTACGTACTTTGTGGAGGAAATTGCTGTAGAGTCGTTACATAGAGACATTGCTTGGTTTAGCTATGACGCTTGATTGATGTTACGATAAAATATGCACTCGATATAGCCATGGGTTCTAGACCCTGAATTCTCGAACCCGATGGATCTCCATCCCAATTCTTGGAATAGTTTGGCTTATATTTGTCATTCCCCCCCCTCCCATCAGGAGAGATACATGACGTTAGTACTACTCGAATTGCAGAATGCAGCATCGGGTCACGAGATCCACGGTTTCCTGGCCATTCAGTTTTCTGGGGCCGTCCATTCCAGGCTTGTATCGATCGATCGAGGATGGTTTCTTCTCCTGGGGCAACTAGTTCCCCCTCCCTTCCTTTCCCCTTGCCTTTCTAGTTCGTTCAACACGCCCTCAACGAATGTTACAGACAGGATGGAGTAGCAGGGAACTGAAGGAACACTCCAATAGACCGTCATCTACTAACATGTATCCCGTACCCAGAAAGCAAGACCACTAATCTGGTCCGCCGGGCCTTAATCTAGAGTAAATCAGCTACCAAAAGATCATTCCTATATCAATCTCAGTGTGAGAGGACAGATTACCATCTAGACATTATCAGAATCAGAGGTTCTTGATTTAGCTAACCTTACTTGGTGGGGTACCTTTCACTATCACTATACGAGTCTCGGTGCCGGGATGCGTGAGGGTGTGGCTTTGTATATGCAATCAGAATACTATGTTCCATTCCCCCTGGTAAGGGACAGGAGGATGATGGATGAATGAATGATTTCTGAGTTATGGGACGCATCTTGCTGAGTATCGAGCGCTGTTGATGTCTGGTGAGATATTCAGGAGCGATGTGGAATCGGGGAGGTGAGAGAGATAGGCATCTATAGTTTATCTTTGCGCTGTTGCTATAATATATAAAGGTACGGGAGTAGATGCAGTGTTGGTATGGTATCTATCTAGTACTTGGGCGAAGGCAGTGGTTTGGGGGTGGTCAAGCATTGGGTGGAAGATATTCAACATGATAATTGTTGAAGTATGGTGTGAATTGTAGGATGTGTGAGGAGCTGTATGATGAGTGTTAGCTCTTGATGGGACATGCTGACTGGCAGAGATGATCAGATATCATGATTCTGTTCATGTAGTCACTCGGTGTCGCAGGCTAGAGTACAGCGTGGATTTACAAAGGAAAGCAAGTCTACTTCAGTAAAGAGCACTACATTGGCACAGTGTATTCATACATTATCGTAAAAAGTATTCATGGGTATTGCAAATCCATATTCATTTGCTGTGCTACCTTTTAACCGAAGTAAATCATATCAAACACAAAACCGAATCACCCTTTTAGTTCTCGTGAAGAGTAGTGAGGAACTCCTTGCAAGGTCCAGCAGGCTTCTCGCTCTCAACAGCCTTCTGGCCGAGCTTCTCCTTAGAGAAAGCAGCAGCGTAGGGGTTAAGGCGGAGCATAACCTGCTTGTTGCGGAGAGGGTTCTTCTTCTGCACGTTGGCGCGCTTGGTGCGAGCCTCGCCCTTGGGAGCACGGAGGACGGACTGGATTTCAGAAGAGTTGATGAGACGGGCCAGATCAGCGTTGGCGACAACGTTCTGGGGAAGGACGTAGTCCTTCTTGAGGGTGGCAGGGGCGGAGCCAGTGCCGAAGACCTGGTCGAGGGCCTCGAAGGCGGAGGAGGTCCAGACAACGAAGCGACCAAGGTGACCACCAGGAGCGAGCTGGAGGAGGTTGAGGGCGAAGACGGGGGAAGTCTCAACACCGGGGATGTTGCGGAAGGCACGGACGAGCTCCTTGCCATCAACCTCGGGGTTGTAGACAACGAGAGGACCACGGCGCTGGCGGAAGCGACGGTTCCTGAGCTTACCCTTACCGGCACGCATCTTGCGGGACTTGGCGACCTTGACGAGCTCGTCACCGGCACCGAGAGCCTTCAGAAGGGTGACAGCAGCACGGGTCTTGGTGAGAGCGGCGTTCTCGAAGGTCTTGGACTCAACAACGAGGGGAACCTCGGGAACGTTGGCAACACGGTGACCGCGGGCGAAGAGGAGGGCAGGGACGGAAGAAGCAGCAAGAGCAGAAGCAGTAGCGAAACGCCTATCATCATGTTAATAGCTTGTACAATCCCAATGCCTAGATTTCAGTGTTGAATGCCATACTTCTGGTTCTGGTTGAGCTTCTGGTGCCACTTGCGCCAGACCTTGGTAGGAGCGAACATACGACCAGAGCGGCACTGGTTACCGAAGGCAGCCTGACCAGCACGGTGGGTACCACCACCAGAGACACGAGGGATACGAGCGACGGCACGACCTGATCGAAAAATTCTGTTCAGCAACCCAATTCCCTGACCTTGCAATTCTGCCTCCGAATTCGCAATCCAATTTCACATACCGGTACCCCAGGACTCAGCAGAGGTCTGTTCACCAGCCTTCTCGCTCACGGCATAAGGCTGTCTCTTGTTCTTGGCCATGCCGGTGTGAACCTGCCTATAATGAAGCCGTCAGCCATCCTCCGGTCCCCCTCTAAATCGCGCCGTAAACTCTTCGAACATACTGGACAACATCAAGACGGATGGGCGCGTTGAAAACGGCGGGCAGGGGGGCAGTGGCCCCGCTGGGCTTGCCTTCAGCCGTGGCGATAGTGACGGTAGGACGAGACGCCATTGTTGTCGACGGTGAGGTGGTCGTTGTCGTCGTTCGAGGTTGAAGATCGAGTATCCTCCCAATGGGCTGAGGAAATTTTCGCTTAGTCCCCGACACGGGTGGTGGGCTCCAGAGAAACCCTAAACCCTGGTTACCGCTTTTGGGCGGGTCGCTTCTGACCTGGCCGACACCTCAGGTTGACTGCCACGTTGAACTACTACACCGCATGAGTGCTGTACATAGCGTACCTGGCTATATGGGCGGTACTATGTGATTTCAGACTATTTTATTTCATTTGTAACCCAAACAGAATTGTATTATTGAAGCAGTTCTTGGTATTATTGTAGTGTCATGTTTGTTGCCATGTCAAGTTGAACATTGATGTTGTTGCTCACCGCCAAGACTGACTAATCACTTATGCTACCTAAGTTATACATCATTGACATCTACTCTTAGCAATAGTTTGTGTACAGGAAGTACATCAACCTTCAAGTGAAGTAACACGCTATCCGAACACAAAAGTCTTCAGCAAGATGATACATAGATAAGATTCCGTGGAGATGCTTTACGTGCTACTGAAGCATGCATGCCCAACGATTCTATTTCCAACCGCCCATCACATGGGACTGTTGGAATATATTTGAGATACCCCGAAATATCCATGGGGATATGAGCTCATTCAGTTACGTCCAAGGTTGCCTTCAACTCATGCCATGATTTGTACATACCTTTATATATCTTTGAAATGCATACTAAATAGACAATATATGGATAAGACCGTGCAACACTTAAGATCGGCAGACCACTTAATCTGAGAGTGACTTGCTATACACTAGCTTTAAGGTAAATGTTTATGTCTGGAAAAGCTTCATGTTCAGAATATCCAACATTACGCGGTTCTAGTTGCATCGCTCTCATGGAGATACATGAAATGTGTAAGGTGGCATTCTAGGAACTGGTAATAGTTCAACTTCATGGGGACTACAAACATTGGTGTTGCAAACAACACTAGTTCAAACTACCGGTACGTCAAACTAATTCTGTGCCAACTGAATATAATGTTCAAAGCTTTCTATTCAATGAAGGTCTTGAGTTCCAACCTTTCTTTCATTTACCCTAAAGTAAATACAATCGAAGAAGAAAATCCATCCAAGAAAGACTCCCCACTAGCGTCCGCGCCGGTGCAAGGAGAACGAAGAGAATTCAAAAAGGAAGCCCGATAACCGGACCAGCGGATATCAGACTTTCTTTATGCGTGGTTGTGGTAGTTGCGCTTCCTGTGACGCATCTCGTGGAGCATGCGGGGCATGAGGTTGATAGCCTTGATCTTGAGATCCGTGCCCTGGCCGGCAGTACATTCAGTACCAGCAGCCATCTGCTGCGTCGGGGTCCACTGTCCGTTGGCACAACGCTGGAAGGAAGAACCACCGATGCAGTTCCAGGAACCCTCCGAGCTGCAAGATCCAGTCAGAGCACCAGAGCTGGAGGAAGAGTCGGAGCCAGAGCTGGAACCGGAGCTGGAACCAGAGCCGGAGCTAGAGCCACCAGACGGGGCGCTAGTGTGGGTGGGCTGGGCGGGGGCGTCAGTAGGGACAAAGACACCAGGAGCAGAGGACTGGGAAGGCTTGGGGACCAAAGTCGAGGAAGCTACTGGCGCAGGAGGCGCAGGGGCAGAGGTAGCACCGGAGGAGCTGCTAGAGGAGCTTCCAGAAGAGCTGCCGGAAGAGCCACTAGAACCAGCGGTGTTGCCATCCCCACCGAAGCTAGGGGTGCCAGTGCAGGCCTGGCTGCCCTCAGCCGCAAGGTTGTTCTTGTTACCAGCGTACTCAACGTTGGAACCGGGGTTGGGGAAACGAATATCGACACCCTCCTTGGTGATACAGCCGTTGACATTGGCGACGAACATGGGCGGGAAGTTAGGAGAGCGCTTCTCAACCGCCTTCTCCTTGGGAACTTCGTCACGCTTGGAAGAACCACCGGTCACGGTAAGAGGGGCACAGTTCATGTACATCTCACGGTTTCCGATACGGTTGAACCAAGTCCAGGCGAGGGTATATTTGCCAGGCTCAATACCTTCAGGGATGGTGTAGGTGAACTTGGAAGCTCCGGTAGAGGTGGGACCACCAGAAAGGTTACCATCAACGTTGGCGGGGCATCCACCTTCGATCGACTTGATGACAATCCACTTGGAGTCCTTCGTGGGCTCGCGGTCGGTGGTCAGACTGACCTGGCAAGATCCACCGCCGTGAACAGCGCTACCCATGAAAGTCAGGGGCATCGATTGGCCGATGGCGGCAGTGTTCTCTTCGGTGACCTGGTAAGTGTTGGACCTCAGCTTGCAAGGGAAATCACTGCCGTCCGCCGCGAGCGGAGAGTTGTTGAGAGTGTCCTTGCCGTAAGGAACGGGGCTCGACATCACCATGTGGGCATCAACGGCGGCGGCGCCGAGTAGAGCCGCGGCAACGAAAGCCTTGCTGAACATTTTGATCGTTTGAAAGAACGTCGGTGCTATTGATCTGACTATTCGACAGCTGAAAGAATGGCTGGAGATTCTGATCGTACCGGACGAGTCAGAACCGCGGGACAAGACCTTGGATGTAGTCGTGCGAAACGAGTCTGGAAGGTGATCAGTTAGATGGTGGTGTCGCAAAGTATGGAGGTGACGAGCTGTTATATAGAGCTGATCCTTCACGAGTTGACCAACACAAGATAGAGGAACACGGTGAAGTTCCGCGAATCCAGAACGGTCTCGAATAACGGACATAGGAAATACTTCAGCGCAAATAGGCCATACCTGTGAAGAGAAGCAGAGCTGAGTAACAATGCCTGCTTTGTTCAAGACTGAGTAGAACAATGACTTTCTTATCGAGAGACGATTGTTCGTAAAATGAAGATGAGCGAGGGCGCTACTTTTTGTCACACGTAGTACAATGGCGTTTGTCCAAAAAAGGAATGTCTGGTAACTGCCACAGGCAAGAGACCAAGAATCAAAAAGGAGTGAAGAAAGCGAACAGGAACTAGCCTGTAGAACCGTCGAACAGATAGACTGTAAAAGGATTGAATCGCACCAGCGTGGTAGGAGAACGAAGAAGACAAGGCATGGTGGTGTAGGGAGGGGGGAATATATAGTTTTTAGACGCTTCGACCAAGCATCCTCACCGATGGTCGTGCGAATTGCCGTGGAGGGTTTAGGAGAGGTGGGGTGACAAGCGTTGGATCACAAACTCTGAACCTGCCAAACGCGAGCCTCTATCGAAGGGTTCTGAACAAATGTGAAACATTGAGTAAGTGGGACCTCCATTGATCCATCACTGCTGAAAGGTGCAACAGAGTTTACAGAGCACAAAAAAAAAAAAAAAGGTTGAGCATCCATGCGCTTGGGTGGCTTGCTGGGGCTGCAACGCCCTGCAGCCACTGAGGGTCCGTGGATGCAGCCCTTTTGGGATACTCACTAGGTAGTAGGAGGAGTACTGGAGACAGGGTATACAGTATTGTATGTAACGATGGAGAAAATGTAATAAATGTAACCCATAAATCTTTGATGAGATGGACCATCCAGATGCTACCGTGAGCGACGGCATCCAATGCAGCGTCGTGAACTGCCAGTCATGAGGGGATCAAGCAAGGCGCCCAGCCATGAAATTCCGTTTAGTCCTGCAGTAGTGTTGACGGCTGCACCCAACAGGAAAGTCGCCCCTGGGCCCGGGGAGGGGCTTTGGTGTCACACCATCCGCCCGAGTGCTCGGTTCCTGACCAGCTACCGCCTAGGATTGGTCGTGGCATGCAGACTCGGTTGGCGCCTTGGATGGAAATATGGGGCCGCCCTCAGCGGATCTACCGCCAATCAATAGGCATTGCCACAATCATGGGGAGGCTTAACAAAATCATCCAAATTTCATGGAGTGGAAATCACAGCCGATGTATTATCATATCATCGTGGAATAAGATTGCTGAGTTACATCGTCGCTCAACAACCTCATCTCATTCCCTAATAATATGACTAAGAGTGCTCCCAGAACAATCTACTTCTACATACTATCAGATGGTGAAATGAGATTAAATCCCCATTCACCTTCGTGTGGAAATGAACTCATTCTGAACCAATACCCTAGTGGCGTGGAAGTGGGAACAATAGTACAATACACATACGTGGATGCCCTTCTTGCCCACCACGCCACATTACGTCCAAGTGCAGAGCGCGGGATCTCATACTGTAATCCGACTCCGTTGATCATCGAGCTGACCGACAGGGAAAAAATAAAATAAAATAAAAATTTCTTAGACAAAGAGTGAAAGACACGGAGTTGACCGCCAAACGTGGGGCAAACGGAATAAGACTTGATGTCTGATAGACGCCGAACATGGACCAGTCAGGGAAGCTGAACGGTTCTGAGTCGTAGACTACAATACGAGAATGTCTCCATTTTCACACCTCAAGTGTAAGTCTGTGGTATGTATAAAATCTGGTTGTTAATGGTGACTGGGAAATGGGGTTCCCGTCGGACTCCATCCATACTGCAGGGTACGCCGTCCAAACAAGAAACAGGCTGCAAGTCAAAATTCTCCGCTGCTATTTTTTGTTCCCTTTGTTTTCTGTGTTCTTATTGCGCGGCTTAGCGCTCGACGCACATGCATGTGGCAAAAATGCTGGGTTATACTTAGGAACCAGGCAAGGACGTGTTGAGGCAACAGAGACATGAGCTGCGCGTACGAACATACACAGTAGTACTCCGTACTTTCGTCTAAAATAGGCAGAATCTCCGCCTTACTAAGTTAACTTCAAAATAGGAATTCAGTCGGTGCGGTTGGGACTCAAGGAGCTTCGAAGTTTAAACCAACACTATTGTTCTTAGCAGCTTGCGACGAAATATCCAGCCTCCTCTTCTCTCCTGAGGTTGGGTTCTCGTTCATCCATGGTTCAGGGTCCAGATCTCCAGTTCCGTACCATTACGAGGCCGAGTTTGGGACAATTACGTCTTGTGGAGTAACCTCAGTCAATTCCTGAGTATCATATTTTTTTTTTTTATATATATATACTCATCGTCAATGTCAAAGTGATATGTAATAGGTTATGTATAATGGTCCCTGATATATTAGATTCCAGGGTATAAATCTCCTTGTTCTTGGTCCCGTACCCACTTCCTTAATGTCGCTTAGAAGTTTCCTTTACGGAGGGGAAGGCCAAATGAGATCTTCCCGTCGAAACGTGTTTCAGATAAATTTGTGGCCTCGGGTAGGTGTATGATTTGCCGAATGTTCGTTTACGGCTCTCCAATAAGGTATTGCGATATTGAGGTAGTATTGGGCATAATTTCCATTCACAATCGGTATTTGTCTCTTCTTTTCTTTTCGCCCTTCTTCCCACAAGGCAGCCGGGTTGGCCCGACGATGCTCCCCCATGAGATTGTCCTACTACTAGTAGTACCTCGTCTCCCGTGATCCAGTCTCAAACCTCAAACAATCTAATTAGATTTCTTTCTTGTGGACCGAATGCGGTCGTTTGTACGACTCACGATACACCCACTCGATCTTATATCTGGCGCATGTACATACCAACTTGGTTTAGAGACCCCCGTTCACACGGGTCGACCGTTTTTCAGGTACACATCAGAGTAGCCGAAGAGGGGCTACTGTAGTCTCCCCGGCCGTACCATTGGTTCTGCAGCCGCCGTGCGACCAACACCTCTTGCATTTGCCTCCACCACATGGGGTTCATGAAGAACAAACCATCCAGGAACCGGGCGGCTACAATAGTCACCGCTACCAATAGTCCAGGAACACATCCAAGTCGCATACCAAGCTTTGATGCAGACATTAGCTCACAGGATCATCCGAATTACCCAACGATGGGCCGATGCCTCCATCCATTATGTAAACCTGATAAAATATATCGCGATCTGAAACGGATATCTCATATCGGTCCCTCCACCCGAGTGTTCTCCTGCCCTGGCCGGGCTCTCGCCGAGACAGTTCTAGTAGGAGGAACCTGGAAGGTTACACTTGGCCCTGGCCTTCTAGAATGTAGCGGTGGACCAGTTAATTTCCTTCCTGCATCCTTTACATTAGCTTTTTTACCCACTAATCTCTAATGTAGTATTGGACAATTCGACGTCATATTATGTGCGTGTGTCACTGTATTGTTTCGGAATGTGGAGTTCAGTTGTCAACCTTTGGAGCTGGCGTGCAGGACAGTGAGTTTGAATGTTTGAGAAATCAAGGCTGTGAGGACTTGGTCAGCTTATCATTGACTATTATCTTCGCGCCGTGAAGGCTGAAAGTTCTGAATAGCAAGTCATCGATAATAGACGAAGCCCTTTGGTCTTTGTTCAGTTACAGTCTTTCGGGTATCTTCAATCTATGGTACGATCTATTGGACAGGGGCGTAGGATCCGAGTCACCATCCCCTCTCCAGGCAACACCGTCTTGCTGTTGAGTTTAATCTGATGCGAAATTGATGTATCCACCTCCTGCATCCCCCGGATGGTTCTCGATCCTCTCTTATTGGTAACGAGAAAATCCTTCCGGTACTTGACCGACAATCGTCGAGCTACCTCAGGAGAAACGTAGCACATGGTGGCCCAAGCATATCGACCGACGGGTCCGATACGACCTCACAAACGCCGAGGTCATCGAGATGGGCCTCTAAGGGGAATCGGGAGATGCGACGAATAGGTTCATGGCATGGAACGGATCAGCCGGCAATCGATGAGCAAGCTCGATCATGGTCCACTCCAGGCCCTGAGCTCATTTCTTTCCTTTCTTCTTCCCCTTCTCATTCCCTGCAGGGGTCGAATCCTTGACGAACCCACCCTTCATGAGCGCATCGCGACCGACAGCATTGATAATGCGAAACCGATCGGGGCCCAATAAGACTCCGCCGTACCATCGTGTGACCACCACGACCACGTCCCATACGTCCATCAGCTGCATGAGATGGAGTAATCGGCCCCCGGCAGCTGTCTCCCCATCATCATCGCAATCCTGAACAATCATTTCGGCGGGCTCGCCCTTTCCATTCGACGGTTTTTGTTGCCTAATGCGCCAAGCGCTGATATTATGCGTTGCAGCTGCTACCTTCTTCTCGGTCGCCAGGAGATAATCCAGATAAGCTTGAGCCTGCTCAAGACTTGTAACATGTGCTGCGCGCCCAACAAAGACAGACTTTTTCTCCGTCACGACATCCGACAAGATCCATTCAGGCGGATTGTCCAGTCCGAAAGCATCTTTTAACGACAAGCTAGCAATATCCTCGGCTTTCAGGTCCAGTGTGTCCGTCTCTTCCTCTTGCTCTTTGTTATTCTCGTCGTTGCTTCCCCCAATACTCAACTCCTGAAAAGCCTCCACTGCCTCATTAATCACGTCGAACAAGCAAACGGCTCCAGGCTGGTACGTTCTCCCTAATATATCCTCCAAAACATCGACCGCGACTTTACCCTCCCCGCGCGACGCCGTAGATGCGGTCCCGAGGACCTTGGGTGGTGTGTCAGGGTACGAGGCATCGAACCCAAGTATAAACGACAAATGCGGATGTTCAGGAATCTGTAGCTTCACTGTCGCGACCAATGGATCCGTTGAGCCGGAACTGCCCAGATCGAGAGTAGAGTTGACTGTAGACGACGAAGCCGCAGTGCTGTTGATCGTAACGGTATCGGGGTCGTAAATGGCATTGATCGCTTCTATCTCTTCGGCCAATTCATTGTTGCCGAGGTAGTCGAGTTGGGCCGACATTTTTGGACATTGAGTGGTGCAGTGTAGACTGTGGCTTCAGTGTGACCTGGAGATTAGTTCCCCGCCGATGTCATCGCTAGTTTTTTGTGCAGTGGGTTTTATGCTTGCTCAATGTGGGCTGACTAATGTATGTTTCGGCATAGCTAATTAATGGCCATTGGCCCATGTAAACAGAGAACAACGAGGTTGTCTGCAAGTTTGATCTAGCTAAAAACTATACTCTTCATGAGCGAGCTACTTCCAAACTGCGCACTAGTACAAGAATAAAGAACGATTACCTAGATCAATAATAGTAACAATAACAATAATGCGGCAGTAAGATACCCCTTTAGGTTGCGATATAGTCTCCGCATGTTGTCAATATCTTCTCAGAGAGAGACAATTTCATTGTCCAGGTTGAGATACTCCTCCACCACAACATCTCCCCAATTTTGATTGAAATAATACATACGGATCTCGATACTCCATTTTAGCCATCTCTTGGGCCATTTTGCGTAGACGCTCACGACCTCCCATACTCAGCGGCCGGCGGGGTTCTACCGGTTTTGGCTCGATGGGTGTGCGAATTGGGAGAGCTAAAGCGGGCTCTGAGGACGATTCCAAAGCTGAAATGCGTGCTAAATTTCTAAGCGCTCGACGGTTCCTCGTTTTTCGAGGCATTAGAAGTATCGGTTGGTCAATATTTTCGAGTGCTGCCTCTGCAGCTCGGATGGCAGCTCTCCAGGTGGTATGTGAAGGGAGGGTCGCAGATGTTTCATCTTGTTGGCACTTCATCGCGTCTGCAACCTGGCGCAGTATCTCACTCACAGGAAAGGTTCTTGTCTGGTCACTGTCCATGTTCGATCTAAGAGGTTGGACTTATAAGCCCTGCTCAGAATTATAGGGAAGTTGTAGCTGGTTACTGCTCTTGATCAATTTTCTGCCGGTTTCTCTGAATAAGTACCTGACTATCTTTGTCCTCAAGGTAAAAGCGAATGTGTTCTCTTACGACAACAGCTGCCGTTAAGCTATGTCCCGACCGGTATTGTTCAACGCTAGCCATGGTAATGTGATTTAGTAATTTGAGGTAGTAGTGTGACTTGGTAATCGGGTTTTCAAAGGGCAAGGGTAGAAGGTTACATACCTTATATTGAGGTGAGAGTAGTCCTTCACCTTTCCTTAATGCAGAAGCCACGCCTGTCCAACGTCGGTGGGCACCGCAGAGGTAAGGCAGGAGCAAATAGGTGACAGAGTAACGAAAGTAATGGAGCTTGTCTCCAGAGAAGGCAGGAACGGAGAGAAGACGAAGCGCATTACGCTCGACTGACGCACCTCTGATGTACTTGGGGGCTCATACAAGAGTCACTGGTTAAAGCGGCTGCGATGAGGGAAAGCAATCCAATGTATCTTTGACATAGTCAACCTCTTGGGTTTACTATTTTGGTAAAAGTGATTACTTTCAAGCGGTAATCTTTGACTAAATAGCTTGCTAAATAGGTATTTTTGTAGTTTGATCTCGTATTTTAAAATATCTTCATGACAGAGATATCAGTATAGCAGTTTACTAGGAAAAAGACTCTTTTCCCGGTCGCGGTTTACAGGTGTAGACGGGTCAATCGACCGCCTAATATCTGTAACCAAAGGCGGTCTGCTACTCAGCTGCTTCAAGGATTCTGATTAACTTCTGTTGCTGGGCTTCGAAGCGCTCTTTCTTCGGTTGACCTATGATGATGGGAAAGGTAAAAATTAAATTTGACTTTAGTCTACTTGTAGTTTGTACGGCATTGACTGTACAGCATACTATTCTAGGTGATATTATTGTGGTTGTTTGCATAGTTTATCTACATACTCTTGATAGGAATATATAATCTATCCATTTGGTAGCACATACCTAAAAGACATTAGAGAAAGATCCCAGCATTCTAACATCCACTTCCCAAGAAATTTGCCACACTCTCCTTTTCCATATTCCGAACCACCTGCGACATATCTTCACCGTTTCCCTCGAGACCATCTAAATCTGTCCTCTTCCAGAACGCCCGGAACCCATCCACCAGTCTCACCGTGATATCCTTCACGTCAGCTTCAGGCATAGCCGCAAAGCATAGTCGGTAATACTGCCAAGAACGATTCAAGGTCTCCTGCGAGGGAGCAAACAAGTCTCCCGGTCCTAGGAGACAGAGGTACGGTTTCTGTGTCAAATGTACCCACAAGGCCTTGGAAAGCCTGGCTGGATCGTATCTGCCATGCAAGGAATGGGTGTCGAGACGGAGCTTGATCCAGACGAACATACCGCCGGTGGGCCAAGAAAAGTCGTACATCTGTACTTTATCTACGACTTCCCAGCTTTCCTCGCTGGACTCAAGGCCGGCGTCCGTGGCAATAATATATCTACCCTCCTCTAGAGTGCTGCACATGTCTTGCATGCGTCGTTCATATCCACCACGCAAACCCTCCAGCCAACGGACCCAGCCATCCATTTGCCAGCTACAATCGCTCTTGCTCGAATTAGTAGACTTGCGCTCTGTCTGTTGACCCAGAATGAGTTTGGCTACCATGGCTTGAACAAAGCCCGAAGGTGCCTGCGTTGCTGTTTCGGTCACCCGCGCCAATCTCTCGATCACGGCCGGTTGTGCGGTTATCCAGCCCAAGCGACAACCAGGGGCGATGGTCTTGGAGAACGTGTCAAGACGCACAACGCGTCCATCCGTGTCCAAGGATAGATACGATGGGACCAACGAGTCCAGGAATTCATATCCGGAGGACTTTCCATGCGCATTATAATTACGCTTACCCGAAGCTGTATCTATGGGCGTGCCACGATGCTGGGCTTCTAACGCGGTTGCCGATGGGTATTGCAAATTCCAATAAGGATCGTCCTCGATTATGATGATATCGTATCGGTGGCAGAGCGCGTATATTTCTTTCTTACGCTCGACGGATAGGGTGCCGCCCGTGGGGTTCTGGCCAATCCTGTATTGAAAAGAAGCAAATATGTCAGCTGTGACCTGCACCAAAAATAGAACTGTACCGTCGTCACCCGCCAACTTACGTGATGGTGTACATTAGATGCGGACGACGGCCTTTTCGGAAATCCCAATTTTCGAGAACATCGGCCAACCCTCCTTTACCGCGTGCCAGCATTCCCTGTGTGTCGATGGCGACTGGTACGACATTGAGACCCCTGGGCTTGACGGTTGCAACCGCATTCATATATACGAATTCTTCACAAAAAATGCCCTCGCGTTGACTGATCCAGTCTCTCTCCGGGTCCCAGACATTCGTAAACACTTCGATTGATTTGGAGAAGCCATCGGTCGCTCCGGTGGTGAGGATGGTGTCGGGGCCTCCAGCATATGGAACGTTTGGATGAAGATGGTGACGGGTGAATTGGCGAACAAAGGAGGCCATAGGAGGTAGGCCTTCAGCTGTGACATACTGCAAGGCCGTGGCGACGTCGATTCTATTCTGCACATCGGTCGCGTGACTCTCTTTGGGAACAATCAACCGCATCGATGACTTGGCGTCATCGCCAGACTTCTTGGTGGTGCCATTGCTGGAAGGTTGGAAACGCTGGGGTGTTGCGACGGTTGCCTCGAGGGTATCGTATGGGAAGTATGAGGGATTTGGTAGGCCTAATGATCGATGATGACGGGATTAGTGAATATCACATGAAAAAGGAAAGCCCAGAGCCGAGTGACGGTCGTTCGTGTATACCTCCAGCCAGGTTCGCAATGCCCGGGATGAAGAAGTACTTATATAGGTCCTTGATGCTGCTCCCCACACGTCGTTTGGTGGTGGATGCATAATGATGGGACAGGTCGACAGGAGGCGCCATGTTTGGAGAAAAGTACGATTAAGGTATAGTAGCTTTGCAATGTTGCGATGGGCCCTGTCTTGTGGGCCGTTCCTTATGCTGTTTCTATGCAAATGAACAATTTCCAGAACAGGGTTATATCTCTGTCTACTTGAACGGAATCGAGAGACGAATACGTACGCCTTTCAATGTCCGTGTGCAACTCCTCCCTTATCATGACCAATCGTCCACGGTTATTTTCTGTGTACTTTTCCTATGCTTGATAAGCAGGGTCAATGACGGTTTGAGATCCACTTTTGGCTCCAAGACCGTTGGGAACCCTTCGATTCTATTTGCGCTTGGCTGTGGACTAGCCATAGTGTACGATGACGGACGCTTCGTCTTATCCGACAAATCCGATGCAATACTCCGTAACGCCGGTCCAGGATGATGTCTGGCTGTATCGATTTAGTCTCCAGCGATAGAACTAGAAGCGAGCCTGAAATTCCATGACTCGTGTATCTGGGGAAGTGCCAAAGGAAAATCCTGCCCCACCGTGTCGGTAGTCTTCCACTGTACCCCGATGTATAATAATAGCGCTTCCCCTAGGGCTTCGAACAAAATCCAAAACCGCCTTCGCCTATAATAAGAGCGCTTAAGGCCCCTTCCATTCGCCCCCTCCACCGATCTTCAATCGCTGACTTTTTTTCATCTCTTGGAATGCTGTCCATGAAGGTATGCTCCAATGGCAATGCATTTTCGCCACGGGATCCCCTGACAATCGTTGAAAATCCCCGCAGGTACCTCGCTGACATAAGCACCGGTGATTGGCCAGCGTTGCCACTGAACTGCTGACATGTCGAAGCCAATGAATGACTTTCGCCATCTGCCAACTTCCTCTTTCTTTCTCTTGATCATTTCCCTAGGCTATCCTTATCCAGATCCAATCGTTGCTGTTCTACATACTTGAAGCACTATGTCTTTCCGCTGGTTGTGAAAGAAAAACAGAAAAA